TTTCCGTCCCTTTCATCGTTTTTAATCATTCTTCCCTTTCCTTAATTCTGTTGTCGGAAATAGTAAATTAACCGTAAGTTCCATAAAATTCAATTTCGAGAAAGTTTAAATAAATGGCCGAATTCGTTTTGTTTCTTTTCTCTTTTACCATTTTTAATCTTTTTCTATGTTTTTAATTTAATTGTCGGGAAAATAAAATAACAAGGGTATTCCCCCTAGAATTAAATGCTGTGAAAAATAATGAAATTAAGGGATATTATGTTTTTCCGTTCTTCCCTACTGGTCTTAACCCCTCTTCCCATCTTTAATTACGGTACTAAAATAGAAAAAAATTTGAGGCCCCATTTCGCCCCAGTCGTATGCTGCAAAAACGTTGCGGCGAGGTCAACTCCCTTGATGCCTCTCCGCGGCAGGTCAATCCGGGTCTAACCCTCTGAACGGTCAGAAATGACAGTCCCTAGACACGCCGAGTCCGGTCACTCATCTCGCCATCTTTGAGGGTTACTCATAAGGCTCAGTGCGCCCAAAATCAGGGGTGCCGTGAGTTCTCCTAATTTTTGTTGCCTGGTCATACGAGACTACTATCAAAACACGGATTTGTCCCTGAGCCTAAGTCCCAAAACTGCGCACTGCTTGTGGCCGCCTGACAACGTATCGGCTCCGATATGAACCTCACACCCTGTGTCGTCTTTCGTTTGGAGTGCTAAAGGTGAGGAATGAAGGCCCGAAAAAACAACAAGATAGGGTGTGCCAAGGATTTTTGGAAAATTGAGTGTGGGGACACAGAGAGAACTGAAATCCCACGTGTTGCCCCGATGAAGTACGTCGGTTGCTTTCGCTCGTCGCAGAATGCGCGCGCGGGCACGAAGCGAAAAGAGAAAAATCCAAATTCAATCCAAAAAGTATTGTGGAGCTTCCCACTGCGCTACGGATCTTCGTTTAGAGCGGAAGGGCTTCGGTACACTCCGCGTATCCCGTTCCTGTGTTAATTCCCGACGTCGTTCGCTGGTCAATTCCGAGTCCGACGTGGATGGTCTCAGCCGTGTGGCTCTTTCCTTGTGCTCGTCCTCACTCCGTATCCGGTAGTGAAAGGCCTTCGATTTGTAGCGATCAAAACGCTGACACTCTGTGCATAGGATTCGAGGCTAATGGGGCGCCACTGCCGTCCACGGAATGACGATCTGCTCGTTGAATGACAACAATATTTGGTAGGGTGGAAAGTGCGTGTCGATAATGACAAAGCCTGCATCCACAAATCTAGAACAACGATTTTCGAGAGGAAAGTAATATTGTCCGCCGATTCGTGCGACAGCTTCCCGTACGTCCCACGCTCATACACGTGTCCTTCCCTCGTTGTAAGGGAAGGGGCGCATTGGCGAGGGAGATACGGAAGGCTGGCGCCCGGTCGAGGAGTGGTCGTTAGTCCACATATCAATCAATCCAACAGAGTTTGCACAAACCCTCGAGACGTCATAAAAAAGCACGACCGAAAAATAATGAATTAGTACTTTTCTTCCCTTTGACACGAGAGAAACACCCTACGGAATCCGCACAAACATGCATTGATCGGGTTGAAGTTTCGAGGGATCAACCCGCGACTCAGCTTTGGCAGACCAGATCAACAAAACACGAGGCGCCTAGTTTTTTCGAGACTGCCCCACAGACTGTCTGTTGATGTCGTGCAACATAAGGCAGATAGCATGCGCAGTGCGTTCAGAATGATAGATCTAAACACTCTTGCATTCTCGAATAAAATCCTGTTGAACGCTGGGTCTAATCAACACAAAAAATACAAGCATCTCTATACATACATCCACTGTGGAAGGTGCGAAAATGACAATAATGCATACATCAAAGATGAATCGGGGGATTGTATACACGCATCCCGGGCCACCGTTCACAAGACTAGGTGATTGGGTTCCTTGTATCCGGGGATTACCGAGGAAACTAATGGAAGAGTTCCGGAAGAAGTTCTTCTTTGCGGGAAATCACGAGGGTTTACTTCGATTCATGAGAGAGATACAAACTCATAACACATCGTCATTCAAGTCAGAGAGAGAGAGAGAGAGGTGGGGGAGATAGGCAAGAACAGTCGATATAGGAGACACCGGAATTCAACAAGGGAACATTCGGCTTGCAGCCATGAACTCACACCAAAAATGATCCGCAACAATGAAGGCGCATTCGCTGTGAGATTCCAACATGACCCCGGGCCAATCATCCAGTCAACTCCAACTACTAATCCTCATACCCGCACTGACGATCATGACTGTCGCGTGCTAACTCCCGCCACTGCAATCGTCACCCCGCCGACGCAGACTCGACTCGGCTCGCCCGGATCCCACAGTCCGTCGTGGCAATCAAGCGCGCAACCGGCCAGCTTACTGTCAGCCCGACATGACTTTCCGACTCGCACCAAACACCTCACCTAGCCACTACTTCCCGGAAGTTGGCTTGAGAGTTAGGAACGTAAGGGAGATTTGCGGGCGCGCTTGCGAAATTTATAGTTGCGGGAAAGGAGATAGATGGGGGAGGAGTCAGAGGGGGGATCGAGGTGCAAGGAGAGAGGGTTAAGCGAAAGGTGCTCAAGGGAAGCCATGTTGATCCTTCAGAACCCGGTAGTCGGCCAATTAGATTCGTCACGCAATAGGAAGATCCTCTTTCTCAACGCGTCTGATTGGTGAGCCGGGGTAATCGGAGGATTAACCGGGCTTCGTGAGTCAAGTTTGAAGAGCAAGAAGTGACGAGGCGCGAAAAGCAGCGCGAGACGGGTCCAAGATTCAGATGATCAAGAAGGGGAAACAGGCGCGCAAAAAGCAGAGAGAGAGAAAAAAAAAAAAAAAAACAGTTGCGATGGGAGAAGAAGAGTAGGGGGAAGGGAGAGAGAAGAGAGCGTGGGGGAAGA